CTCCACCCGGCCGGCCTGCCCCTGCCTCGACCCCCTGCGCGCTCCGGGGGCCTGGCCGGGCTCGTCCTTCTGTGCCCCCGGGCACGGAGCGGGCCGAGCAGAGCTCACCCCAGAGCCGTCCACTGGCTGCGCGTCCACTGTGTGGCGGCCGGCCCAGGCTGGGGCACCCAGCGGGAAGGAGGAGACCCTGCATTTCAGTGAGGGGCGGCCTTGGTGACAGGCAGGAAAGGCACGAGAAAGGAGTCGTGGGGGCCGTTGTGCGCTGTGCGTGTCCGGTTCCCCGTGGAGGCTGGCCGGAGCGGGTCGGGAACTCATGGTGCACGGCTCTCCGCAGCCGTCGTTTGGGGGTGAAAGCGCACCTGGCAGCAGACTTCCCTGGAGTCCCGCGCCAGGCTTGCCAGGGTGGCTGGCACAGGGTGAGAAGTCGAGGCCCTCGCATCCCTCAGTGGGACATTAATCGAATCCCTTAGGACGGAAGTGAAAACGTGGGCTTGTCTTGCAGCACTGGACAGTGTTGCTCTTCCTACCTCATTAACTTCTCGCTTCACACCTCATCGAACGGTTCGACTTTAACCTGTGCTTGTTAAGCCTCTGGCCTCCCACTCTCCATTTTTGAGGCTCATAATTTACATGATTCTTGGGAGTTGAAAAGATAGGAACTCTCCTATCCCGCCCTGGTCGTATACCCGTCGCTCCCGCTCCCCACCCCACCACTTCCTCAGAAGCAGCCTCTGCCCGCGGCCTCGTGACTCCTCTTTGCTTTGAAGCATCTCCTTCCTCTCCAGGTCTTGCCCACGGTCTGTGTTCTCTCCCTGGACACATTCAGTTCTTTTCCCAGTCACCCAAACCACACCTCCCGTGTGAAGTCTTAATCAGGTCTTGCAGAAGAACGGTGTAAGCCGCTTCTCAGGGACCTCATCACTGTCTGTGACGCTGTGTTGTGTTATGCGCAGAGCACTCTCACCAAGGGCTTGCCAGGCCCTGGCTCGGTTCAGGGGCGCTGTGTGTGTAGAGGGCACAAGATGAGGTCAAAGTCCAGTGGGGGAGGCGCTCAACAGAGGCGCCCCACGGTGTGACCAGGCCTACAGTTTAAGTCCGGGCCTTGAATTACTAATGGAAGAGTCAGAACGGTGGGCTGAGGGGACACTCGAGCAAGGACTTGACGTTTCTCAAGAGTTTGGCATCTTTTGTCCTTCTGTGGGTGTCCTCCAGTGTCCTGTCCCTGAACCTCTTCACCGCACGCTGTACTTTTCCTTCCAGATTCACTCTCCGCGTGTATTATTTCTACTGTGGTCTGTACAAGACTTACTCTTGTGCAACAGTACAACTAAAGAGAGTCACAAGAAAGACTTCCAGAACTGCTTTACAAAATGGCAAGAATGATAGACTAAGTGTGTTCGGAATGAGGGGGGTTGGTGACAATGTGTCTAATTGTAACATATTTAAAAACATTTTAAGCATTCACCGTATTTGTTGATCACACTTCATACATCTAACTTCCCCCAAGTTTCTAGACAGCAAAGATCTTGAATTTGTTTCATTTCCCCCTACTTCACAGTTGAATGAAAATACTCCTTCAAACTGGAAAGACCAGCTATCTAATTCGTCTCTCCACTTCTGGGAATGGAGCTCAAGGTCTGATATCTCTCTGGGGACAAATCTTGTTCCTTTCGAGCTTCACCTCAAGATAGGGTGTAAGATAAGCTGAATGTACCATTAAGAATTGAAATAACATTTGCACATTACTTGTTGAACTCTTTGAATCTTGTTTGAATTTTGTTTATTCAGAACACTGATCAGCAGTGTTACGAGGTTCTTGGTTACTTTGCCCCAGGTACCTACCAGATTGGTAAAGGAGAGCAAGTTCTGTTCTATTTTCAGGACGACTTTCTGGGTGGATGAAAACTGCATGAAATAATTGGGTTGCTGAGCGTTTCTTATCACACTGCTTTTTTAAAGGTGTTGAGGCACAAGAATTCTACAATTATATCGCCGTTTTAATCAAAGCTAATGCTGCTCTTAAAACAGTCTGTTATAACAAAAGAGAAGTGAAGCGTAGTCCTCATGTAATGCTTTCCCTCTTTGCTCATCCCCTTTCACCAAGCCACACAGAAACTGGGTCTAAATATGAAGTACTCTTGCGATGAGAAATTCTAATCTTAGAGCACTGTGAAATGAGGACAAATGATAGATGGTGGATAAACACTGCCCTCTTTTATTATGATCACCTTGGGACCTTTACATTTTTTACGTTACTGACTCTGGAAGTATTCTGTCAGAGCTCTTCACCTGCAAATTTTGCAGGCTACATGTGGCATAAAAATATCACTGTGATCCTTTGCTTTCCCTTCTATTTTTTTTCTCCATATGTGCTTCTGTTTGTTTGCTTGCCCTGCTTAAACAGATAGTTACTGTGATTCCCATGGGCAAAGTTCTTTTTTAGGGGGTTTTGTAGAGGACCAGACATGGTCTCCATGATTTATGCATCTTTATGCAGCTCTTGGATGCGTGCTGCATCTTTTATAGGTTGTCAAGCCACCTAAAAGACAGCAGCTTTGAAAATATAGGGCTCGTTTGCACAGAAGAGACGTTTCCTCAGGGCCTGGCTTCTCTCTTATCGGAGATGTGTTACTTGACATTTAATATGCTGGCTAGGAAAGGGACTTCTGAATCACTAAGCCAAGAGCCAGTGATGTGCTGGCTTGGCTTGTTAGTCACAGATCCTTTGGAACAATGTATGAGTGTGTGGGGGGGCTGTTTCCTCTTCTATAAAACCATATGGCAGAATTTGGTCTTTCTCACTTCTTGTCATCCTGCTTGTAGTTTTCTAATTCTGTGCTTGTCAGCAGGAAGGAGGAGGGGAAGTGGCATAGCACGCCCCCTGTGATATCCAGCTGCCTCAAGAGTCCTTATTCTTTATGCAATCTTTGAAGACAGGTTTGAATTCCCCGTGAAATACAGCTCAGCAGCAGTCCGCAGCCCCTTTGGGTTTTGTGTATGTACCTTCACTCCCCCACTTCAGGAAGCAGCATGCATCTGTCCTCTCACGCTGTCCTCAGGAGGCAAAGCATTTTCATTTTAAACAAAGTCGTTGAGGGTAATTGAATGAGCACCAGCAATATGTGGGCGTGAAATAGCAGTTGCTTAGTTTCATAAAGAAAAGCAGGTTTTTATTACAACTTCGATGTGCCTTCTGTGGGAAATAGGGCTCTGTACCCTTTCCCAACCCTGCAGTTAGCTCCTCAGAGGAACTGCTAATGGAGCGAGTCTCTATTGTTTCTCAGTGACTCATGGTGGAGATTTTATGTTTTTGAGTGTAATTTGTCCAGTTCTTTGCTGTAAGGGAAAGAATAGCTTGTCAGTGTTCATGAATAGAATCGGATTCCTTTTTGGCCTGTGAGGAGAATGAAGGCCTCCTGGTTAAAGAGATGGCCAAGGGTAGTGGGCATTTCAGTTTCCCCACAATGCAAGGGAGCCTGTGGAGTCCTGAGTCCTCTCTGTGTTTATAAGGAGGTGGGAGGTGGCTTCACAGAAAGTAGTAGGAGCCACTTCATTACTAGGAGCCGTAAGCAGGAATCTACCGGTGTTGATCAGTTTCTTTTAAAAACAGCTGTTGGGTCTTCTAGCTATCTCATGATGGTCCCAAAAAAGTCCTGGGGAGTTTTCTGCTAAAAGGGGATGGGGAATATTTGCTCAGAAGAAGTTTTTATCCTGCCCACATGATTGAAAGAAAATTGTGTTTTAGGAATTACATTCTATGGCCATATGTCATTTAATAACAAGCGGGCTTGCTAGTTGATGGCGTAGTAGGTAAATTTGACCTATGAACTTTGAGGCCATGTATGTGTAAATTATTTTCCTAATGGAGGGGATCAAACCCAGGGCTTTGTGCATGCTGGACAAGACTAGGAGCTTTATTTATTTTGGACACACCGCTGAATATCATTCCTGTGTTTGAGGAATTCTCTATCTTTCTGAGAAAGAAAATCAATAAAAAAGTATCTTTTTCTTTCACCTAAAGCACCTTCATGGAGCTACACCTGCATGAGTGTTGGGGTTGTACCTCACAGATG